TGAACAACTCACATTCCATTGATAACATATACAATATGCAAGCTCCATTTCAATTAATTGCATTTATTTTTAAAATTTCCACTTAAATTACTGGTTTAGCTAAACCTATCCGTACATCAAGAAATCAAGGCACGTAAAGCACTCTCCATACTCCACAGCAGCATAGGAAAGTCTGTCATTAGTTTGGAAAGAGAAGCGGCAGACAGACAGAAGGAACTCTTCTTGTTGCTATAACTACAGGATAACAAAGGTCAGCACTGGGAGAGAACCATCCTTGGATTGAATGTTTAACAACTCCGGGATATTTTATTGAATTCTTCCTCTCCACAAAGAAAAATAGAAAAAAATTGTAAAGGGTTAATTGAAGATAAACTAAACATTGGAAACACATTTTTAAAAAAGCGTCAAGAATGGTTTTGATTGGAAATAAAATATTGAGACTACTATCCAAACACCTTTACTGAAAATATCCAGGTGACATTGGAAGTCTGAAATCTCAAGTTCAGGAGAAAAAAGTAAAAAAAAAAAAATTACATTCACAAACATGTTTATGAACAATGTTTTATTGAATTTTAAAACGGCAAATTAAAAATGATTTGAATTCATGTTACTTAATAGAATGGTTTTAAATACATTTAATTTCAAAGTTTTATAGAGCTTAAAATTATGACTTTCATAAATCTAGTTTTATGTTTTTAAAAAGTGATTTTTAGAATTCCATTACTAAGAATTCTGGGAGCGTTTGCTGTTTTTCTTCAACTGTTTGTAGAGCTGGACCAGTCTTGTCTGATGACTCCAGGGTCCCTCAGAAGCCCTTGGGGAACAAGGTCTATCCCTTCCCAGGGAGCTGAAGACAGCAGGCACCTGAGTCTAGGCTGTGACAGGGAGGGCCTGCTGCAGGTCCCCGGGGCCCGTGGATCCTGTCAGACGAGCCTGTCTGCAGCAAACAGTGGCTGAGCACGGGGGCTGCCGCGGCCACCTTCTGCTCTGCTGTCAAGGGACGAGGGCCACTGTCCCTCCGAGTGGTGAAAAGTGTGTTCTGGTCAGCTGACAGCTGCACATTGCACCGCTGTTTCCACACTTTGCGTTGCTTGGCCGTTACTTACCTTTCTGACAAGATGGAAGCTGCCCCCTCCCCCAGGGGCACCAGGCAGCCCCAAGTCCTGGGACCCACGTCTGGGGTCCTTTCCCAGCGCTGGGCAGAGGAAAAGTGGGACCTGAGAAGACAGCTTGTAGCTCTGATTACACATTGGGGTTTGGGTCACTTAGTACCTAGAAGTTGCTGTTTTGTATCAAAATCAAACCATGATTTCCTTGATGAAAAAATATTTTGAAAACATATGAAATGTTCTCACCTGGATTTTCTCACAGTCCTGTGAGCAAAGCATATCAGGCATTCATGGTAAAGTAAAAAAGGCATCTTTCACCCCAAGCACACTCACACAGGACGGTGTGGAAGGGGCCTCCTTTGGCCATGTCCTCTTCCAGGCTACTGTGGAGAATTTGTGTGTTTGGGGACAAGTCCTAGTCTACTGCTGTGAGTATCAGAGCTATGATTCTATAGAAATGAGACTCTATATGGCAAGGAGAAAAACCACAGACAAATAAGAACGGAGCGAGACCAAATTGGGACTTACTTATGAAGAATAATTCTAAAAACGAATGTCTAGGATAGACTTGGTATGCATGTGCCTCGTGTCCAAACTGTATGTGAACAAGTGAATGTGCAGTGCTTGATTAACCGAGGCGATTTGAATGTGGTGCTAATGAGGCCGGGGTAATGGGCGTAACCCTGTGAACCCATATTGTCATTATCCTCCATTGTCAGAGTCTTTATCCTCAGTGCTGGAGCTCTGTAAGTGCATCCTGTGAGTCATCAGAAAGACACGGTGAGGGTGGCGAGCCCTAGAAAAGCAGCTCAGAGCATGTGACCCACTGTGTCTGCTGGGAGGTCGAAAGTACCCGCCTGGAACATGCAGGTCAGCATTATGATAATGACGTGTCAATAGTTAATTAGAAGTGAAAGAAAATAGCAAGTGTGCAGAATATTGATTTTAAGACCAAGTTTCATCAAATCTTAATTGTTGAGCCCCAATAAAACTTTAAAAAGTGCCCTTAAGATGTTCTAGGAAGACATTTCAAATATTCCCTTATAATAATTCATTGTATTCATAAGTCTCTTTTATGTATATAACCTTAGACTATAGTTCTTTGTTGATTAGTGCCCTCCCATGCAGTCACCAAACGGCAAATCATATTTTCTGGGAGTCAAGTTCATGGAGGGGAAATAGAAGACAAGATTCAAAAGATGCAGCCCATCAGAAGAGGACTTTGGACATCATTCCGCGAATGTTGGATTTTTATCCCATGAAAATGGAGCACCCACTCCTCCCCACTTTATGCTCGTCACCTTATGTCGCTGTGCATGGCAGAGAAAGTGAGGAACTTTCCATGTGGCAGGGGTTATTGATAAGGTGGGATTGAGAGCTGAGTAAGAGACATTCCCTGAAGCCAGGAATCCCAGTGAAGTCAAATAAATAAAAATCCCAGCCACAAAGAAAGATTAACTTGAGGCATTCGTAGGCAAATGGATGCAACTTGAGACCATAATGTTAAGTGAAATAAATCAGACACACAAGGGCTGAAATATTGCATGGTTTCTCTAATATGAGGGATATATATGCAGATGGATAGATAGATATAGAGAGAAAAAGAGACCACAAAATAGGAGATAGATAGGGAGTAGGGAGACATTAAAATAATTCTGAAAATTATTATTCTGCTGTATCAAAAATATTGTAATATATATGCCAAATCATTTCATTTATTCGACTAGTTTCTCTTAGCTTATTGAAAAGGAAGCTTTGTGCTATTATCTTTTTGTTTCTTCTTTGTAAGAGAAGAACTTTTTTGTCTCTGGGTAGCTACTTTGAAGAGAATGGCACACAGTGTTTTAATTACTGTCTTGTTATTCTGTTACAGTTTCGTTTTAAATTTTCTAATTTTTTTTTTCATAAAATAAAAAAGAAACCAAAGCAAAGAAAAACTAAATAAAAATCCCAGGTAGTGACTGCAAAGGAGAGTTCCATTATTTCCTGTTTGTTTTATTGGTACATTTCTTCTATGAGGGTGGAAGATATTGTTATTTATGGTGTGGATTGTGGCCCTGAGCTCTTCCTCAGAGACCACATAGGTTGTAGGAGGCCAGGCAGGACTGCACATTCACCCTCCTGACCTGGACTGTGTGTGTGTGTGTGTGTGTGTGTGTGTGTGTGTGTGTGTGTCTGTGTGACTAACAGGGAGCCCCTCAATCCTGGAGGAGTGGGGAAGAAATCAACTGACAATGCCTAAGATTTATCTCTAAAGGACTTTATTTTAGATGTGCTTCATTCCCTTGGAATACATTACTCCTTCCTTCTTATTCTTTAATAAAATATATTTGAATATTCTAATTTGGCTACCTGTCAAACAGGTATGTAAGAAGACAAAGTTAGTTTACAGTTGCCAAACTTTCCCTGAAGTCCTTAAGGCCCCACGACTACTGGGCTCTCTAAAGCTGCAATCAGCACCACTCACCCAAGGAATCTCAAGGTCAGATTCAGGGCTATGTGGTCTGCTTCATTTATTCTCTTTCTAGTGCTGCTCTGGGTTTGAGACTGCCAGCTGTTCTCAACAGTGAAAGACTCTTATCTAGGAAGTGTCAGCCCAGCAATATTTGCAGTGAGTGGCTAAGAGTTTAGCAATCAACCCTGACTCCTCCCTGCCCTCTGGCAGCTTCCTGGACTTGGTGGCAAAGCCCCAAGACCAAAGAAAACTGGATTTCTAAACTACTTGTGAAGGGGAGCAGCCTCTGACCGGAACCCCTCACCCTGGACTGTTCTAGGAGCTAACAGCAGACATCTGGGGGTGGCTTTGTCACATCAGGGTTAGCCAGCTTATCAGAGACCCTGGGGCACAGGCCATGATATTGAGTGAGATCCCGCTGGACATCAGCAGGACTGTGAACATATCCCACAGTGTAGCGGAACAGCTGTCAGGTGACTCTCAGGTTGGAATTTCATTTTCTCATCAGAATATGTATATAGGGTTTGCATTGTTGCTTCTGATCACAAGAGGTGAAAAGCCAAGTAAAGACACAAAGCCCTTCTGGGTGGTTAGAAGCTCTCCCCCACCCTCCTCCTGCTGAGGGGAACACACCTTGGGCTCTAGTGCTTTCTGGGCCTGGGACACTGCATGAGAAGTAGCAGAGAATTAAGTGTTCTCAGCAGCTGTTACCAACACCTTGACAGAGCGTCTTGGAGGAAACAACAGAGGACAGACTATAGCAACAGAGGCGGATCTGCAAGTGTCTGAACTAGTACAAAACAATGATTAAGGGTGGGAAATAGGAAGAAAAGAGGTGGTCCTCTTCCTCTCACTTGGCTGAGGTTACAATCAAGCCCCTGTCAGATGCGACAGCAGAGCCACGAGCTAAGCTGTTTATAATTTCTTCTATATGATCAATTAATCTTGCATTAGTGAGGGGCCTCAAGTCATAATTAAACCTAAGGTTGTTGTAGCTAGAGAGGTGTCTTGATTAATTATCGATTGTGGACTGGGGCAGAGGTCCTAAGATTTTGTAGAGTCAGACTTGGGTACAAATTTCAGGCTTGTTGCTAACTCTAGGAGCTAATTTGGGCTGCTTGGATTTTCTGGGCCTCAAATTCTTTACATGTGAGATGGGATAACTATGCCTTAGGGTTCTAATCAGAACAAAATAAAACATCTGCGAGTTAATACATTGTCTGACACACACAGGTCATTCATAGTGGCCATGATTATTAAAACTGTCAGAGCCTTCTTCTAAGAGCTAGAAGTTAAAAATCTTGGGCATCAAGAGCTGATTTGCTCTCATTTGTTTGAGATTTCATTCTGAAGTGAGCTAGCTTCAAGATCCCCAAAAAGGAAAGCAGAAAAGGAATTTCCAAAAGGAAAAATGTAGCATGAAAGAGCACGATGCTTTATTTGGTTTAAAAAAAACCAAAACCTTTATTTACAAACTTCAAAACTTCTAACATGAAGCTGACATTTAAAATATTTGAAAAGATGTTTAAGTATCTATCATCCGGGTACATTCACTCATTAAGAGGCGGCTGCAGTTTGCTGAGAGACTTCCTATGATGCTCAACTCAAAAAAAAAAAAAAATCAAATGGAAAATTTCCTCCCTTGCTTATATGAGGCATTCACACAAACGTAAAAATGTGTTATTAACTTAAGTTATTATTAACTATTCCATTATTTTGTCTGTAAGTGACAGCTGCTTAAAACCAAATTGACTTTTTTTTTTAATGACAAAATAAGCCTGCGAACCAAGGAGCTCCAGCGTCCATCCGTGTCCGACTGTGGTGGTCTGGCCCTCTGGACCCCGCGCCCCGGTTCTGTGCGCCCCGTTCTGGCGTTTTTCCCACACCCACGCCCGCCCAGGTCCGCGGGAGAGTTTCACATGGTCCTTCTGAAAATTCAAATATAAAATGGTTTAAAATCTCTTTCAGTATTTCATTCTTACAAGGAAATGGTATCATATTTCACTTCCTTCTCTGAAAAGATGCTACTGCATCACTCTAGGATTCGTTAATTTAAATTTAAAACCTCATTCTAATTTATAACTAACTTCATCTGATTTTTTTTTCTTTTTCAGGCTTTCACATTAGCCACTACGGAGGTTTTCATATGAAAATTATTTCGATGGATTCGTGATTTTCTACCGTATTCCATGCCGTTTCTGCGAGGGTAGATTCCCTGGGACAGGCTGGACCCAGGGAGGCCTCACTTCCCTGAGGCCTTGGTGGCACGCTGACAAGTGCAGTCAGGAGCTGGGCTCAGTTACACTGCACCTATGGTAAAAAGATTTATTTATCCATTATTAAGCTATTTTCCCCAAATGACAAGAAGTGAATTGTGAATCACATACTGGTATAAAAGACTTAGTTTTTAAAAGTAGCTTTTAAAGTAAAGTTTGGGATTTAAAATAGGGCAGTGAATAAAAAATCCGATTTAATCTTTGGAACTACCAGATGGAAAAGTAAAAGCAGGGAGACAGGAGAGGAGGAAGAGACGGGAGGGAAGGGATAGAGGGAGGGAGGGGCAGGGGGATTCTGATTTTGAGGTAGGTCAAGCCTCACAGCATCATTTTTTAAATTTTGTTTTGTTTTCACATTTTCACCTTCTGGCACACAGTACTGCTATTTCCAGGGTCTGAACATCCAGAGCTCCGATTCCTTGTCCCTTACTTTAAAATCCAAATGGTAACGATTTTTCTTTTCTTTTCTTTTTTTTTGCGTCTCCCCTGGAAGGCAGAAGCATTATCTAAAAGCATGTGGTGGGGCGCGATCGGGCGCCTTCTTCAAACAAACGCGACCTTTTCCCTGCTTCTGGCAGGCTCTTCCCAGCCCAGCCAGCAATCCCAGACAAGTTTATTTACACACGACGCGCGCGCACTCACTCACACTCACTCACACTCACGCGCGCCCGGAGACGCCCGGGCCCTGCAGCCCGGCACCGCGGGAGGCGACCGGAGGAGGGGCGCGCAGCCGGCGGGCGGGGACACAGCGGCCGGGAGGGGGTCCCCGCGCCCCGCGCCGCGCCCCGCAGCCAATCGCCGGCGGGATCCGCGCCCCCGCCCCCGCCCCGCACACCTCGGCGCGCCCCGCCCCCAGCCCGCACCCGCACACACAAACAGAGGGGGAGGGGAGCGAGGCGGGCGAGGCGGGCGAGGTGGGAGCGGGAGGAAGAGGCAGGAGAGTCCCGCGCTGCCTCCCGCGCACACGGCCGCCGACCGGCCGGGCGCAGACACCGCCGCTCCGCGCCGCCTCCTTCCGCCCCCTGCGCCGCGCCGTCTCCTCCTCCTCCTCCTCTCCGCAACCAGAAAAAAAAACACATAAGCCATTTACAGGTATTTTTTTGATCCGCATATTTATTTACCCCCTTCCCCTCCCCAACAGTTTGTTTACAAGTATTAAAGTTGTCACTGGGAGCCGCCAAGACGCGCCCGGATTTGTGTTTCTTTGTGTAAGGGGTGGTGTGCGACCAATTAAAGGCAGACTGGCCGCGTCTGCAAATTCTAAGGCTCCCCAAATAAAAAGAGGCTGGTAAGTGATTGTTCTTTTTTTCCTCTGGCTTTCCTCCTCCTCCTCCTCCGTCTTTTTCTCTTTTCTTTTTCCTCTCTCTTCAATGTTTGCTGTCCGTTGGGATTGTGAAAGTGGATTATTCAGGCTGGACTCCAGCGACGAGAACCGCGGCTGTATTAATTTATTAATTGACCTGCACCCGCCCCTCCCCGGAAGGTTCAGTCTGACCTTTGATCCCTGTGTCTCGGTCGCCCAGACTCCAGCCCCGCCGTGCATGGTCACATTGTTTGGGGCGAAACAGCGTCGTGAAGTATGGATGTCTGGTTGAGCCTTGCTGTAGAACTACCGTCATTTGTGTGTGTGTTTTATTTTGTTTTTAAATAAAATCCAAACAATAGCTGTGCCTTAGGTACCTTTTCCGTGCTCCGGAGATGCATTGATTAAACAATAATGACCTAGAGGCCGGGCACTGTGATCTCCTACAGTTCCTGGTGGTATTAAACCCTGAAGGGGGGGGGGGCACCAGGAAAGCCAGAAGGTTTGCCTGGAAACCCCAGTCTGAGACTCCGAGGAACGGACTAAATTATTTCTTTATTCGGAACAAGGTCAGAAGCCGGAAATACTGAAAAATTTCCCTCCGCTCAGCGGGCCGCTGTCTACTGCATGGTCGGCATAACTAGTTTCCCGAGTAGCAGTTATTGTGGTCTTTTGCAGCTACAATGTGATTTGCGGAAACTGAAGAATATGCATATTCTTGCTGCGCCTCCCCTCACCCCCTCGCCAGCATCAAGAATATTTAACCGGGCGCATTCGGGGGGCACCCTTTGTATTGTCGTCAGACCTCAGAAGGGAGCAGTTTTCCCTAATGCGAAACCACCGAGGTGGCTCGGAGTGATTAGGGGCTCGCTGTGATTGAAAGGCGCCTGCTACCTCCTAATCCAGCCTGCAGGGAGAGGTGCATTATCTCCATTTACTTTGCCTAACAGGGATTTGTTTACATAAACCCTGCTTTTTAGGGCGCCTCATCAGTAGGTCTTGAAGTTTTTGCACTTGGAGTTTGGGCAGCAATGGCAGCAACTAATCTAATTATAAGCGTGATTACTATAATTGATGTCCATTTTCAACTCTAAATATTTGAGACGGAGACTCCTGGGTCCCCGTTTAGAATTCCCCGAACTCCACCTTCTAAACCAATCTGTGGGCCTCGAAAGATGTCACCAAAAAATATTCTGGCAAAAAAGCTATCTGGAAACAAAGAAACTGGTTTTTAGGTGAATATGCACTTGGTGCCCTGGCTTTATTTCTTAGAAAGATGGGATGTCCTCTCTCTGTCACAAGCAACTAAATACCTCTCCCTAAAGTGCAATCGTGGCCTGCCCGCAGAGATGAATGCAAATACCTAGTTATCATTAAACTTTCTCTGAAAAGAGCAAGAGGGAATCATTGTAATGATTTTTCCTTTGGGTAAAGAGCACCTTAAAGGGACCCCCCCCATGTAAAAATCAGTGGTGTGAGAGATTCTTAACAAACCAACGTAAAATAAAATAATATTTAAAAAGTCTAATGCTCTCCTATGGACTTGGAAGAGACAGCAGTCTCCATTAGGAAGGCTTGGGAATATCCTGGCGAGGCTGCAGGCTCTGGAGAAAAGCCTGAGACACTGCTTGCATTTTTTTTAAAATTAATTATCTAGTCCATCTTTCTCTTCATCCTTTCTTTGAAACAAGTAAAACACCACCCTCTTACCCCCACCACCAAATGGCTCGCACAATTGAGACCCGTCCTTGGTCCATTGAATTAAGACCCTAACCAAGCCAGCTGTGCTGGGATTCAAACTAATGACCGCAGGCGCAGAGGACACCGTGGCAGCTGGTCGCTCCTTTCTCTCGGCCTCTTTCGTGCGGCTCGGACGTGGGCAGGCTCAGAGCCCTGCGTGGCTTTGTGCTCGCTCGCAGTTGATCCTCGGATACATTGTAGACTTTCCCAGGACTTCATTTGCTAATTTCCTGTTCATTTCCCTCCTAGGGCCCTCGCGGCTTCCTACTTTGCAGCTCGTGCGTGCTCAGGCAGCTCCGGTTCACACATCTCACCATGTTTAGATGCCCTCTGCTTCTGGGCAGCGTGGCCCTCCCGCCCCCGATTTGCATGTCTTTAGCACTCCAATTGCCCTTCTCCCTCGGCGGCGGTCGCCCCCGCGTCCCCTCCCCGGGCGTCCGGGCTATTAATGCCTTTTCTCCTGAGGGCTCGCGGGGAGACCAGGGGGAGGAGCTGCGGTTCGCGGCTGCCGAGGCGGCGGAGGGAGGGGGCCGAGCGGGGGGGGGGGCTCGCCCGGATTGTGATGCAAACGACCCGGCCTGGCCCGCGGGGCCCCGGGAGCGCGGCGGGCGGGGGGCTGTGCCTCGGTGCGGAATCTCGCCTCGTGCAGCGGGTGGCAATGACTCTCTTTATTTTAGTTGTAACAGTTGGAGGATAATGCGCAGGACGACGCTGCCTGGGGATTCTGCGTGCGTGGAAATGCGCCCCCGAGAGGACTGAGCAGCCGCCGCCGGACCCGGCCCGCGCCCCCGCCCCCGCGCCCCCGCGGCGCCCACCTCCACCCTGCACCCCTTCCTCCCGCCCTGCACCATGAACACCAACGTCTGCGTGGAGCCGGGGCCGGGCCCCGAGGCACCGGGGCTGCCCAAGGAGAGCCACCTGCCCGAGGGCGCGCTGGGCAGCCTGGTGGATTACAACTCGGAGATGGAGCGCTACCGCTCGTTCGCCTCCTCCTTCTACAAGAGCGGCGGCGGCGCCTTCCCGCAGGCGGCCAAGATCGCGCGCATCACCACGCCGATCTTCCCGGGCAGTGCCGCCGCCGCCGCCGCCGCGCGCATCGGGATGTCGCCCTGGAGCTGCGACAACGCGGCCACGGCGGCGGCGGCCACGGCCATGCTCTGGGGCAGCGGCGGCGGGGG